TGTATGTATGTATGTATGTATGTATGTATGTATGTATATATATATATATATATATATGTGTGTGTGTGTATATATACATATACCACAAATATACACAACTTAAACAAATATATACAAATACACAATATACTAATAAATTTACATGAACTACAAACATACATGTCTTTCGCCCATACATCCCCCACGAACACACACCCATACATCCTTTCGTACATACATACGTTCCTAACCGTTCCTTTGACTGTCAGGTGCTTGCTAAACGACACATCCAATACGCCAAGTATGAGACTCTGGTCTCTGCGCTGCTGCTGAATCAGCCCATGCCTAACGCACACGCCTTCTGGGGCAACGAGGACAACCGCGCCAACCGCAAGTCAAGTGGCGAACCAGAATCATGTATGTGCTTACATTGCTTATATTCATGTATGTACACACATAACTTATGAATCATGCATGTACCTACATGACTTATGAACCATGCACGTATCTACATAACTTATGGATCATATATGTACCTACATAACTCATGGATCATGTATGTACCTACATAACTTATAAATCATCTATGTGCTTATACGGCGTTTTTGTGTAGTTGTATCTGTGTGTGTGCATACGTGGTTGTTTGTCTCTGTATGACCTACTTCATGGTATCTGTATGTGATGTTTACCACTCATAGCTAGCGTATAGGCATCCCTTGCTGTCAATGATCTGTGCTTGTGGGTGTTCTCCCACTTGATGCCAGTATGGCATCTGAGACCTATCTGTGCCTATCACTCGTACCAATGTATCTATCTCCATCTCTTGTACCATTGTATCTATCTCCATCTCTTGTACTAATGTATCTATCTCCATCTCTTGTACCAACGCATCTATCTCCATCTCTTGTACCAATGTATCTATCTCTATCTTTTGTACCAATGTATCTATGACCATCACCTGGTACCATGTTCCTCGGCCTTAGCGTTCATGTGCTACAGCTGTGTCTGTATCATCATGTTCCATAGTGCCGCGTGTGTGCACTCGTGTGCTCTGTTTCAGTCACCGCTTCTGCCCCTTTGGACAGTGCGATTGAGCACATCCAACACAAACGCCAATGCCACAGATCTGTCACAGTGTGGCCATAGACGTTGAATATCCCACACATAATATATATATATATATATAATATACATATAATATGTAATATATATATGTACATATAATATATATATATATATATATATATTCTGCTGCTAAGCTCAGCTGTCTCACTCGCCCCATAAACCTTATTCGATGTATAGGCTGTACAGTTTGTATGTGCCACAGGCATGCTCATCCAATACACATGTACGTATGTATGCTATCTCGCACAGGGGTGTATAGAGGTATCACGTTTCGGTCAGTGCCAGTACTCTATCAGGCAATGAGGTGTAGTGTAGTGCAGAGTGTACTAGTACAAGCACTTGATGCCGTTCTGTGTATTGTGTATACCCTCTGTATTCACGTTCGAGATAGACCCGCCCAGCCATGGCCAATGCTTGTGGTGACCAAGACGAACCTGTGGTAGTTACATGCATTGGTATTTCCTGGTGGCATTCTATTTTTAATTTCTACTCCCGTTCTATTTTTAACTTCTACTCTTGTTCTATTATATACACTCTCCGTCCTATCAGCCATGGCCAAGAACGAGATCGTAAACCAAAAGAATCTCAAGAATGCGTGGGAGGCATCGCAGATCACCACCAAAGAGGACTGGAACGAATGGATTAGACGGCTGAGTGTACAGCTGCTCAGGGAGAGCCCTTCACCAGCACTACGATCATGGTACGCCATAAGCACACACAATCACACACACACACACAC